TTTTGTGATCCCAATGGAGTATCTGGGTCACCAAGCTTTTGGGATTCTACTCAGAGAAGCTGAAGAAGAGTTCGGGTTCCAACAAGAAGGAGTTCTAAAGATCCCTTGCCAAGTTGCTGCGTTTGAGAAGATCCTGAAGATGATGGACGAGAGGAGGGATACGCCGGATGCATTTCACTTGCACGATTTCGGTTTGACTACGACAGCTAGCGGAGATCAACTGGACATGGATATTAATAGCAATGTTGGATATTGTTACTCGCCATACCACCACCAGCCTCCTCAAATGTGCAGATGACGACATCGATCGATGCTCCGAACATCCCCTCGTTAGCGATCTGTTCCTCGCGTACCCATGATCCCAATTTTTTTTACTATATAGCACTAAGGAACATATATACATACAACAAAATCGTTGTAATTCATCCCATCTCCTTCATGCGATTTTTGTTACCTTTTCTCTAGATACTAGATACTACTCCATTTGTTTCTGCCCTTGGAGATTGATGGGGAAGGCAATCACGTGCCGGCTCTGTATCTAATTACAACTACAAGCTAGATCGATCAGTTCAAAAGAAGTCTTGCTCTTTAATCTTACTTGTTTTAAAATCACTACTGTTGTTGTTGTTGTCGTTTCTCTGATGGTTACGTAACGTTAGATGATGCTGTGAGAGACGTCACTGAATGATTTGATCGGATGGATTGAACTGATGTTTTGTAATAAGTGCTACAAAGCAGGTGCTCGCTAGTGGCAGCAGCCTATTCTATCCATGCACCGGTCACAATTCATAACATAATTAAGCCCGCGAAGGCAAACCAATACACTTCAGTCTTGTGAACGAAGGAATAATTACTTTGGTGGCACTAGGGGTGTTTCGCGAATCGAGCCGATCGCGAGCCGCTCGTTCGAGCTCGACTCGAGCTCGTCAATATCGAGCTCGAGCTAATTAAATTGATCTCGAGCTTGAGCTCAAAAACATTAAGCTCGTTGGCTCGCGAGCCGCTCGCGAGCTCAATTATATATTTTTTTTTATTTTTTATTTTTTATTTTTTATTTTAATAGTAAAATTACATATATATCCCTAATATTTTTATTATTTGTTAAAAAAATTATTGTTTTATTCATTTTTTAAAAAAAATTATTTTTTATTTTTTAAAAATAAAATAATAATAATTATTTTTTTTTATTTTTTAAGCTCGAGCTCGACTCGAATTTGACTCGAGCTCGAGCTCGAGCTTGATATTTTGAACTCGTCGAGCTCGAGCTCGAGTTCGAGCTTCACAAAATTAACTCGAGCTCGGCTCGATTAACCAAAGCTCGACTCGAGCTCGGCTCGTTTGCACCCCTATGTGGCACCACCGGAGTTTAGGGATGTAATCGACAACTCGAGTATTGCTATACTCGAATTCAAATTCGACTCGACTCATATGTACCTAGGCTCGAGTTCGATCGAGTCCAAAAAATCGATACTCGAGACTTAATTCGAGGAACTCCCTTTAAACTCGAGAGTCGACTCAATAAAACTCGACTTTTAAGCAAATCGTATCAAGTCGAGTCTAATCAAACTTCTCGACTCGACTCGACTCGAAAAATGTACACTTCTGCCCTTATGAAATTTTATTATAAAGAAGAGTATATTGTAAATTCAATATAAATTATACCCGTAACGGTCATTTTATAATTATAATATATATATTATTTAAATACACCCTGACTCGACGAGTAACTCGACGAGCCACGAGTCTCAAAATATTGACTCGAAACTCGACTTGAATAACAATCGAGTAGCTCGAGACTCAGTTCGAACTCAGTCAAACCAAATTCAAGCGAGTAGCTCGGTTCGCGTACATCTCTACCGGAGTTAGATTGGACTCGCTTTCAAACGAAGGAAAAAGATTATACTACACCTTTCAAGGAAAATTGAACTTATGAAATGATCCGATCTGCACAGTTTTGTACTATAAGTTTACAAGGGAGGAAAAGAAATTCTAACTCAATAGTATTTTAAATAAGTCCATAATAATAGGTGATACAAAAAAACTCTACCCAGAATCTCTTAAGACAAACAACTTCAACTCTTACAATTTCAATAATGACCATTATATCAATTTCTCTCACTGTGTCCAGTAAAATGCTACAACCATTTCAACAAAAAATTTCCAAACCATGCGTTCAGATTCTAAATAAAAAGGTGCGACTGCAATTACACCAAAAAAGGAGAAAAAAAAAATTTTTTCCTCTTCTAAACAGGGCCACCACTAGAAAGGGAAGGTTCAGATTCCACCATTGCTTAATTGGCCAGCGCAAAATATTAAGTATTACAGAAAAATCATGAGAGGAAATGTAAGATGTGATAATTTCAGAAACCTCTCCTAAAATTTTTAACTATTTCACTAACCTCCCATCAGGTTTCAAAAATTACACTAACCTCCCTTCACTTCACTTCAGTTGGCCGACAAACTGCCCGTTTAATCGTTAAAAGCACATTCTGTACTTTAAGATTACTGCAAATGTTGCTCACATGACCCATGGACATAATAGTATTACTCTCTTTTTTTTTTTTTTACACAGTCGGAGACTGCAAACCCAGGCTCATAATTGAATAACGTGATGAATATTAAAACACAAATTAATTCTCTACGATGCTACAAGTTTGATGCTTTTACTTGTTCAATAATTATAACCATGCCCACGTGACATCATGTGCTGGGCTGCACTGAGCCAAGTCAGCGCACTTCCGCATCAGCAGTTTTTTAGGGAAAACTACTCGCTCTATTACTCTTTGACTGCCGTTGGCAGCTCCATGGCCTTGTCCTCACAATACAATACAGTACAGTGATGATTTGCGATCCCTCGTAACATTTATGCCGGCTGGGCTCCGTGCGCACGCCATTGTACTTGTGTACTAATCACACACCTAAAACAAAACCAATACTGCAGCAGATAATGGCAGTCCCAAACGGCTAATCTCACCACGAGTAGTAAATAGTAATGGCAGGCAGCATGTGCGATCGTAAAGGCAAATTCGTAAAATGCCGCCCGGACTGGATTGGATTGCGCTCATAGCATGTGCAATTGAGAAAGCATTTTCCAGACAGTAATAGTACCTCCCAAAAGCAGTACATGTTTATACAGCAAGATACGTGCCTGTCCCTCCGCCCAAGCAAATCACAGTTAAACCAACAAGAAGGCAGAAGCAGATGTCATCTTGAGTATTTGTCCACCAGTGCTTTGGCTTTCTCTGGAGCGAAGAACCGAGCCTGTTGAGAAGCATATTTCAAACACGTTATTGCTTCGGCCTACAAGTCCAATAACGAAAATTCTGACTGCATTCACTGACTCGCTCTGCTTTTTCACATGCACAATGCATACAAACAAATTCTGATCGTGTGCACAAGTATATTTTTCTCAAATCCTTTGATACTGATGATCTGTTAACAACAAACTGTAAAGCACACCCGACTGAATGCACGTACTAAACTACAAAGCTTGACATCGCTCCAAAACATGTACAATATCACAACTTCATATGCAAGAGTTCATATGCACATATCTAATCAAGGTATTTGGCAGAACAAAGGTCACAAAGAAAACCACAGGATACATTTTCTTCAAGAACAGTTGAGACTCTGTACCAAAAACCAAGCTTCATGTATCCATTAGATGAAATCAAGCTTGACTTGTTTAAGCTCATCATTCTTTTTTAAGTGTCAGGCCTTGCTCCAAATAGGTGGCCTCTTGTTATGATTTGTCTCTCAAATATAACAAAAAACTCGTCACTTCTTTGAAACTTCCCAAGCGAGTTTCATTCAAACAACTAGCAAAACATCAATTGCGAGTCAAATTCTGAAAGCCATTTACATACTTGCATGAACATCCTTTCTGAACCACCGGCATTACCATTTTCCTTCAAGATGATACCCTGCATTAAAAAATCAAGCAAAATGCTGACTTTCAAGATTTCTACCTTCTTCAAAAAAACTCAAAAGAGTGTATATCTGTTACATGAAAGGAACTCATTTCACAAAGAATCGCAGTCAACCAATCAATGAATGGGAAAAACAAAAATACTTTCAAGAATTTCGGAATATCAGGTAAAACATCAAGCAATAAATCCTTTTGGACAATCTAGTGTAAGGATCGGCGCACCTTTGCTAAGTAACCTCTAAAATCATCAGGATGGCTAGAAATAATTTGATCATAAACAGCTACAGCATCACTGACATGCCCCCAATCTGAGTAGGCTTTTCCAAGAAGTAGGTCTACCTATAGAAGACATGCAAAAGTAATCATTACCCCAACAGAATACGCAATCAAAAACATATGCAACAGGGAATGAAACAGAACACATGTTGGAAATTAAAATTCTTTAATTAGGATAATTACAAAACACGGAGGCGAGAGAGAGATATCTCAAAAATTGGGTAAAATATAATACATGCACAAATACTTTCCAAACAGAGTTTGAAGTAACAGATGCAACTGTCAACACGCAGCAGGCATATTCCTGCGGACAACGGTATGCAGGATGTGAGGGAAGAACTAAAACTAGATTGCCTTTTACCCTCATTAGACGGCAGAAAACTTGGGTATAGACTGTGTCTGTTGTTTAGATTGGCACGTATAGAATGAAGGGCTACATTACTTGTCCATGGCTACTCGATGGAAGGGGTAACTTCTCTAATTCAAGTGTTTACTTGTCATGCATGTGCTTAATATTGCCCATAAATAAGCCCTCATCTTTCTACTTTATTACCATGTTGCTCATCTAAAAAAGCAGTAGTGAATGACGTGGAAGAAGCCTGAGGAACTCAAAAACTGGTGAGAATCCAGTGCCCCAGTTCCTCCAAAACAGTTGGTCTATGAAGGGAGACTCAGGGCTAAAAGGCATAGCCCATGGACAGCAGGTAAATATTCCTACAGTACCAATTCCCAGAATGGCAGGATTGGTTATCAAATCCACAGTCCGTCTGTTAAAAATGATGGAATGTTTATTATGTATCAAACCCTAGGTACTTCATTATGTTGATTTCTTTGTACCTGAAAACTATTATAGCCCAGGCGCTAAGCATTCAATCTCTTTACAAAAGGCCATATCAAAATCTAACCGAGAATAACGCATCACATATGAATGGCCAGCATGACACTGTAAATCCAAGACGTCTGAAAAATAGTACACCAACTGATTAGTATACCGCACATCATAGGTAGAGGAAGAGGCTTACTTGAATGGGATCCAATTGAGAGCTTTTCTCCACTATGCTGCTCTCTGCCTCAAAATTATTGTGAACATTTTTCTCATTATTCAGCATCTCACGAATTGGAAGAAGCATTTGGACAGCCTGCATTGAGCAGAAGGAAAGTATAGCACTGCCATTCAAGACACAAGGGCAAGAAAAATACCTACTCCGCAAAAATGTACACTGCAGGTCACTGCCAAAATTGTATTCGACTCAGTCAGTTATTGTTATAACTTGTGAAACTTGCAACATCAGCAATGACCCACAGTCATCATTGATGTCACTAAACTGTCCTGCTGACTGATTCATATCGTCTAGATAACCAGTTTCTGAGGCAAGACAGAGTTAAACAGATGCAAGAAGGAATCTATTTCGCAACAATTGCAGCTGTGCAGTCAGATACTTGTTTAGGACAAAAGTGCCACTTCAATGTCAACAATATTTGTATTTCTTTTTTCTCCCTTTTCTTTTTGTAGTTAATTTTTCTCTCTTCTCTCATGTGACCAACTAATCTCTCCTCTATGCTATTATTATCTAAATATTGTATTGAATCTTGTCAAACTTATTCTTTATTTATTTGTATCTTTTTTACTTTTTCTAATATGAAGTAATAATGCTCACAAAGTCCACGTTGTAACAAAGTATATATTAGCTATGCATATAGAATACTTCACATAGTATTTAAAGTAATACATCTACAGCTTATACATAATTAATTATTAATAGAAACAGAATGCAGATCTTAGTAACATAATGTTTAATCAACTATGCATAATAAAAGCATAAATAAAAATACTAGTCACTTAGTTTATTTGGTATGTACTTTTAGATATTAAGTAATTTACAATTCTAGAGTTTGCTAATATCTGTTTAAATAATATTTATATAAACTTTTGATTACGACAGGCATATGGTATTTTCTCATGCTATATAGTTTGTCATGAATTTCCTAATGGGGCAAATAAATGAATAAATAAATATATCAAACAAGAATGAAAGTATAAGTAAAACAAAGCTACAATATTATAATAAGCATATAATTATTAATACTATTAGGAAAGTGAAGGAAATAGTGACACAAGAGAAGACTGCAAGTACAACTGCTGCAAGAAGACTGCATGTAACATGTTTATGCATTTTACATTAGTAGGTCAACCAACCTCGCCAGGTTTCTTGGCAGCGAGCAGTGCATTTGTAAGACCACGAGTTACTTCAAAGTCAATAGTTTTTGACACCTGTAAAAATATGTTTAAGCCTTGAACATTTCTTCAATTATGTATTAAACAAGGTACTGACATCAAGCAATAGATTTTTCACAGTGGCTTTCTCTGCATGGCACCAAACAGAACTGGTTGTTCTAACTAACTATGAAAAAAAGGCAAATCAAAGTAAAAAGCCAAACTACAAAAGACATGCATTGAAAAGAACTTCAAAAGGGTGCTCCAGTGCATGACCTGACAACAGCTTGATAGCAACACCACACAAATCATCACAACAAGAAGCTTTCCCTGGTTTTTATGGTGAAAACCATCTACGGTAACCTTCTACCAAGTATCTCATACAAGTCATTGTCCCTCGAACCTAGTCTATAATATGGAAACTTTTACAGCATCAACTATCACAGAATGTGAAGCGTCCACTGAATACAAATAGCACTAACCATTGCCGAATTTCTATAGGCCCTGGCACTTCCTTCATAATCCTTGAGTTCATATTTAACTTCTCCTAGCAATCGGAAAACATCAGGATCACTTGGTTTCTTCTGAAGAACAAACAAGGTAAATTCGTAATAAGAGTGATGGACTAAAAAAAATCGGAAGACTAATATTTCTGTGTAAGTTATAACAGGTTAATCAAGAAATACCTTCGTCAAATCCTCAAGGAGTGAGGCAGCTCGATCATACTCTCCTAATTCAGCTAGTGTTACTGCAGCCCCCTGAAAACCAAATTCAGAAGTTTGAAACCATGAATGTTCAAAAATTGGAAAAGGTAAAAAGACAATACCGTTCTATGTGGTGGTAATAATTAAACAGAATGGACAAGACAAGTATTATAAGAGTGTTGGCAGTTGTTATATGCATTCATTTTATCCACAGTAAACTAAATGTTCAATAATGCAGGGAGATGGGTATATTGAGAGGGCCTTTCGGAAAGAAGATGAGGGAAATTCTGACTTCCTAAGCAACTTATAAGAGGCCTACATATCATTCTTAACCAGGCAAAACCTGCGGTGCTATCAGAGCAAATACAGGAAGAAAAAAGACTACTTGCTAGGCTGCCAAGAAGCAAATATCCACTCCCCACCCCACCTCAGCCTAAAAAAAAAAAATGAAACACCATGCACCAGCTGTGATTCAAGAACACAATAAGGACTATTCTGGAATGCTAGAATTGGGAGAGTTCATTTTGTTCCAGTTTGATACATTATGCTAGCTGATGCCACACATAACCGTCAACCTGTCATTGAGTTCTATACTTATAATGATGTTAAATACATACTTGAATTTAATCCACCACTGTTTCACTACTATTCCCCGTCTTTTCCTGCCTCACCATCCACCTGGAGCCTCATCCCTTCCCACCTCCTCAGTCCACCTGGTTCGAGGATGGATGCATTTTTAAGAAGCCATATGCTCAAAAAATTGTCTATCTAAAGTTTGTAAGCATTGTAATTTGTCATTTTGGCTTTGGAATTTGCAAGAAAATGGATATGACGAGATATGAAAGCTAGTAACTAACTGATTGTGTCTGAGGGCTGTCTAGCCTAAAACTTATGGAGGTTCACATAGTTTTGCCAAATTCCAGCTGAGAAGACTACCCAAAAGAATTGTGGACTTGACAGGATTATGTCAACAGGGTACTGAGTGAGAAGTCAAGCAAAAAATATGGATTTTTTTTTCTTTTTTGGGGTGGGGGGGAGGGTGTGGAGGTGGGGTGCATGAAAACTGGTACTCAGGTGCAGTTAATTTCAGGAACCAGGGAACCCCACCTCGATATTGTTATGGAGGTATATAGAAACCTTTCCATGATGAACGTAGCTAATACTAAAACAAATTACCACTGGCCTTAAGTCACTAGTTGCAGTGAACACGTCGCCATGAAGCGTGTTCACCATGTGATATTTTGGTTTGCTGTAGGTTATCAGAGAGACGATTTTAAACGGGGAAAAGCCTCAAATGAGTACAATGACACGAATTCAATGATACACCACAAAAGTTAATCAAATGACTGTGCAGACACTTGAGACCATACAGAGCACATTCAGATGAGGCCATACATATGAATCTCAAACATCAAAACTCACTTCAAGAGCAATGGGATTGTCTTGGGAGATGCTCAGCGTCTGCTCAAATTGCTGCAGCCTCTTCTGGAAAAGAATCAAATGGTATAGTATCCAAATGCATACAATAACTTTGCACTTAACAACAAAAAAAAAGGTATATCTAAGTGAGGCCTTTAAAACACAACATCCAACAATGAATCAACAACATTTACCATTCAACTGCACCAACAATTCGTCCAAAATAGTTTCTTAACTAAAATCAGCATAATAGCCAAACATAATTGGCAAAGGCTCTACATCTGACTAACCTATTTATTATACACCAGGAACATGTTAAGACCCAGTTTGGTGTAGTGTTGACAGCCCATTTGAGAGCAGCATTTGAACAAGATGCACAAATGCTAAATCCACATTTAATCAAATGCTGCTCTTCCCTAACTTCTGTTCACATGATTCTTCAACCACAGATTTCAAGAATCTTGTTGGGCAGATGCTACAACAAAACTTTTTTATGAAACAGGTTAACAGACTATATGTATGAAGGCATATATGGATGAACCATTTTTTTAACAAAATGCTATTAGTAAATTCCTTTTAACAAAATGCCTTTTTTTTCCGTACAAAGCTATGGAAGAAGAAAAATCTACTTATGTGCACAACCTAACTCATCCAATTTCTTTCCCAAACATCCAAACAAAGAGAGAACTTAAAAAATTTCTCTTCTTTTTCTCTCCTAACTTAGATTTTCTCTTCTTTACTTTCCTCTAATAACATCCCAAACTTAACTTACTGTACATTTCTAAGCACACTTTTTCTAGCAAACTACATAAAGGCATACTTTTTGTGCGTTCTAAACTAGAAAAGAAAAGTAAATTTCAAACCGTCTGGGGGGGAAAATTGCAAGCTGTCTGGAAAAGTAAATTTCTAGACATGTCCAGCATTTTACCTTTAGACTTTCTCTCTCTTTAGCTGAAAATTTTTCAACAACAGTGGTGGCTTCTTCGGTCGGAGTAATTCTGGAACAAAAAAAGAAAAATCATGATCAAGTTGCCTCTTTCAGTACCACAACCGGTGGATAGTTCTGAAGGACAAATGACAGTAAAAATACAGGATACACTATAATGCTTAGTTATTTTGAAGCCTGTGTGAATTGATTCTCAAGTAGAAGGTGGATTTTGCTTTATTTTAGCTAAGCAGTTGTTGCAAGCCATATAAGAGCACAGGCATATTTAAGCAGCACCTCGAGAGAAATGCTTTCTGTTTTCATAGAACTCGTGAACATGATCATGCAATTCATAGTCCCAAAATGAGCCCAATGAAGTAAAGATGCATCAGAATTCATGTATTTCACAAACGAATCAAATGAGTTACAAATAGAGAACTTTCCTTCCCATAACCTTCCAATTTAGACCAGTCAAGGAAATTTGGCAACAATTTATTAACCATTAATAGGCCATTATGTACTTTCGCGAGAAGAAATTATCCACCCCAGTACAACCAGGGAACATTTTTCCTGCATGACTAGCAAATGCATCTCCTACTCTTCAGTATGATGTCTATATTGACATGAAAGAAACAGGAGGACTAACACTAACATATGGTAAAAGGAAATTACACATTAGACAAACTATAGAAGATCTGAATGAATTTTGAACTAAAGCTTGAGGAACTGCATAAGCCTTACTTTTCAGAGGGAAGAAAGTCCCCAAAAGCAAAAACAAGTCCAAAGATCAAGGCTGTGACTGCAGCTCCAATCTGTCCAATTCAAAATCATAATAACAGATCATATCAGAGGTGTAAACTACACTGCCTTTTAGACCGTAGTCAAAAAATACATCAGCTCATGCTGGAGTATTACCTTAGTACCCAGTCCAACAGTATTACTTGTGGGCACAGTTGGAGTCTCGTAATCAATTGCTCCATATTGTTCCTCTTCTTCTGCCTGTTTTTGCTGGAGTGCTGACCTAAAACTTAAAGAAGCATTATTCAATAAATACTCCCTCTGTCCCAAATTCATTGACGTGTTTAGGGACTTGTGCTTTTTTTAAACAGTGCCCAAATGTTGCTTTAGTTTCTCTATTTACCCTTCAATATACTGGTGATAAGAAATGGCATAAGTCAAACAAAATTGATGTTGCACGCTCTGTTGATAAAAGAGCCAAGAGTTTGTTGCACGCTCTGTTGATACTAGAGTTAGTGCAATTCATGCTCTAAAATTGTGTACAAGACAACAAAACACATGGGGCCCAACTCATTTCCTTTGTCAGTTCATACTCACATGAAACGCAAATGTGTGCAAACATGCTCCTTTTTTCCATCACATGTATCAAGGTGGTGCAATTCACACATGGATTCTTAACAAAAGTCAAAAGAAATCTGATGGGCCAGCACCTGAGATTAATTGGAAGGTATAAATGGAAACTAGATGAAAAATTGTTTGCCATATTTAGAAAGTGACATATTTTGGGACAGACCAAAATAGAAAGCATGACACTTTCAATGGGATGGAGGAAGTAGTTGTTTAAATGCAGATGGTTAACAAGGAAAACGTCGAAAGCAAATGCAACAGAAAATCAACAATTTGGCAATTAGCTACTAGGATGACACATATGCCATGGTCTTGGTAAGGGGAAATTCTGCAGTTAAGTCTGACAAAGGGCTAAACAATTTCCAAGATAAAGATTGCACGTGTACTTACAGTTTTGATGGTGGCAGAAAATAAGACACCATTATAATCAACTCGAAAACCTTTATAATTTTTAGCTATCATAGTAAAGGTGATTTCTCATGGTGCTGTCATTCAAACGATCAAGGGATAATACATTGTGCTTAACAGATGTGAGACTTGATGGAACTCTAATACAAGAGCCGGAATTGTACATTTAGATAAGAAAAGGAAAAGGGAAAAAGACAAGCTGTTCTGGGACACAACAACAACTGTGGCACAGCAACTGCACCAGCATTTGTGCATGTAAAGAAAATCAAACTTGGTCGACATGAACAGCAGTCTATTACAGTAAACAAGAATGAAGACATTAAATCAACAATAAAGGTCATAGTACGGAGCACCTTTTAACTGCTTCTAGCCGTTCCTCAAACTGAAAGTCCATGGGAATATTCCCTGATCTTCCATCACTTTGAGAACTCAAAAGCGGTGCCTCTGTTGAACCAGAGGAGGAACAGTATTAATGATGGTGTAGAACTATCTCGATCAAGAAGATTTAGAAACACAATCTGTTGAACCAGCAAGAAGATTCACCTGGCTGATCATTGTGGACATAAGTTTCAAAAACCAAGAAGATTCAAACAAAACACTTGTGGTTTCAGGGGTCCAACAAATTAATAAATAGGGAAAACATGGATGATTGCCCATAGTTGGCTATATCAAAGTTTCTTTGTTTAATTTTTAACAAGAGACAGAAAAGAACAATCGCAATAGCAACGAATAAAGTTGACAGGTCATACTGACTCACTTGAATCAAGATTTGGCTTCGGCTGACTGATCAATAATATTATTTATGCAGCAACAAGAATCAGCTCGAACGCAAGTAACATTAACCACACAAGCGCGCAAACAAACCGAGAGAAAGAAGTAATGTTTACTCACGATTAGGAATGTTGTTGGAGCGATTAGAGGATGATTTCCTGCACCAAATAATAGTAAAAATCAGAAAACAGGTTATGTGCAAATGATTTTAGATGAAAACTACACAAAGCTAACACTGGCTCATGAATCCATTTAAGTGTTCAAAAATATAGAAAAAAGATGGAGTGGGTCAATAAACTTTCCTTGCAACTAGACATATAGTAGGTACACCCAATTAGCTAATTTCCCCATTTGCCTCTCAATCTCAATTCAGGCTTTTGAACTATTGATATCAATATTCAGTTATAGTTAGACCTGCATTTCCTTAGAACCCAGCAATGTTTGAGTTTTGGCTTTTAAAAGACATCTAATTCTTGCACCCCGAAGAGGGGGGGGGGGACAAAATGTTGTCATGCAAAGTAATATAGAATTGCACGCTCTACAGGAATCTCAACAATCGATTGTAAATAAGGAGGTAGACAGCAAAACGGGGTTAACGACATAGAAAGTACCACATGACAAAGTTTAAAGTCGCACAACGTGACAACTATGATAAAAAGAATCAAGATAGGCGTGGGGGGAAATAATTGAATGCCAGCAATATGATAGTACTACAATGCAATAATGCTTTTTCAACGTCTGTTATGTGATGGGAGAAGGGTCGTACAGCCTTGGAAGGGGGAGGGGGAAGGAAAAGAAAGATGATAGAGTATAATAACACAGAAAATGGGGAGGATTGTAGCTACCTTATTGGTGGCACCGAACTCTTGCTGTCATCCATTCTCATTCTCGTTGGTTTCTGATGAGAGTCAAAAACAAGGAGAAAGCCTATTGGTCAGGCAATAAAGCAAAAGACTGAATCACATTTTGGTGACTGCTATAGAGTTGGCAATGAAAACATACGAGTTCTACACCGAATTTGGTGTCATAGGTGAAGCAACCAAGTGCTAGTTAGTTAGGAATTAGGATGTAGTACTAGTAAGTAACTGACCATCAGCAAAGAGATACCAAGCAAGGCAAGGCAAGCTCCAGTTACCCCTTTTTTTTTTTTGAACCAGTTCTACTAGATTAAATTAAATACGGTTGTCAAACAACCTAAGGATACCTTATCCTTACTAGTAGTAGACAATGGAGGACTGGGTTTTGGACCAAAGCCCCGAGCCGGGGGGTTTGGAGTTGAACTTGAAGAGGGAGAAGATGATGATGAATTTCCCGAATCGGAACAGTGTAATCGAAATCCAATAAGCCGGTGCGGGTGCGGTCCCCTCGAATTACGCGAATAATCAACAGCAAATGAGAAAAAAGGAGATGATATGTTGACGACGCGGTGCTTCCTGGAGGAATCGTTGTTCCCTTTTGCGGCGGTGGTAGTGTATGCAGTGCTTCCATGCACAACTACGATGCGTGGAGAAGAAGCCGTTGCGGGCATGGTCATCTTCAATGCACCCTGTCTTTCCTGGTCTTCAAACTCTGGAGTTGAGAACTCGTTGGTGGCTCGATGTCCACCACCGGAAGCCTCTTTAACTGAGAATAAATCCAGACAGATGGATAAGAAAGAAGCCGTGCCTCCTGTTACACTTCATTCTCTTTAGTCGTACTACTACTAGCACTTTAATGATTAATCCCCGTACTTTACTTTCACGAGTCCTTCATGTTTATGCCTGTGATTCCTTTGTTCTACTAGGGCCGCTTGGTAAGAGAGTTTGGGAATCAAGAATTGGAATCACCGTCATACTTGTTGCTGGACAAAAGGGCATGGTATTGAAATTTGGAACGAAATCACAAAAGGGTATGAGTATTGAAAAATTGGAATGAAATCTAAAAATGCGGTGACTCTCAAATCTCAATTCTCGACCATACCTGGTTAATTACCAAATTTGATTCCCAAATAAAGGGATAATTTCATACTTGGTTATTATAATTGCAGTCACCTCCCCTAAGGTTATAAAAATTACACTTACCTTTCTTGATGCTATGATAATACCATAATAGCCTTCACAAACTTTACAAATTTTATGTGAAAAATAATTTTAAAAGAGAAAAATGAAAATTCTTTTTTAGCGATACTTCTTTATCATAAAATTCTAGCGTCATCTAATCTAGTATATTATACAGCATTCCTAATTTTTTTAAGTAGATTTATTAATCAATTTATAAAAAATCTACCAACCAATTAGGGCTGCATTTGTTAAAATAAATATTTTAAAAAATTACTTAACCAACAAAAATGACCTAAGTAACAAAAAAGAATGCTTTCAAAACATGGTTCTAAATTTTCCTGCAAAAAAAAACGAATTTAAAATTTTCACCTAACGGATAACGGTGATAGTTGACTTTTTAGCATCTAATTTGTTTTACATATCAAATAGGGGTAATATTGGATATTCATTGATTTTCTTTTTCCTTCCATCATACTTTTTATAAGAGATTTTTCGTAATTTTTCAAACATCAGGGAAAAGTGGCTGCGATTGTTATAAACTTCATGAGAGGTTTTTGAAATTATCCCCTAAATGAAATATAAAAATTCAAGAATAAATGGAAATCTTCTATCACCTAAATCTTGCTTCCTACTCTACTTTCTCTCTTGATCACTCCTACATCTTTATCGGACTGCCTCCATTCCTTCCTCATCATTCCGTATAATGCACCTTCTCACCTTATCTTCTTTTTCATCACCGACATCCGATATCGTTTTTCACTTGTCTTCTTATTTCAAACAAAATTCTGCTACTTTTTCTAGTTTAGTAAAACTACAAGGAAGTTCTTTAAAAACTTGACTATCAACAGAATTTTCATCTAAAAACAACAATTGACGATGATGAGGTTTGACGGTGGTTTTAACTACAAAAGATACATATTTTTTAGTCAAAGAAGATGATGAAATTTGATCTATCTTAGATTGGAAAATTTTGGAAATCTTGAGACTAAATACAATAATTATAGGAGCACAAAAGTAGTACAATTAATTGTTATTCTATCTTTGAGTTTGACAGTAGTTCTGCCTCGAGAAAGAACTGCTATCAGTTGGCCGGTTATTTAAAATTAAATATGCTGTAACAATTCTGTATCATGATGTACATGAGATGAAAAGGTACCCAAACAAAATAAAAAATTTGTTAGAAAACGTGTTTATAATTTAAGAAAACTTTTTATTTCTTAAAAATGACTATCCTAGCGCATTTTGTTTGGGCATTAGGTAATTAAGCACAATTAAGATTTTGCATGATTGCATTTAATATGTTAAGATGTGTTCGATTTTATGCATATAAATTGATTTTGGAACCACTTGGTAAGGTTTATGTTTCGTGTATTTTTCTGTATGGATTTTAATAAAAATAAAAAAACACAGTTCATTGATATATTATTTGGCTTTACATGGGAAAAGAAACGTTCACAAGAATGAGGCTTGCTTTCGAAGCACAAAAAAAGGGCAGATTTCTTTAGACGGGGTATTATTTGCAAAAATAAATTGATTTTATAATAAATATTATATCTAAATTACATTTTTATCTTCTTAACCACCTATTTATCTTACATACATTGTCATGAAAAGTGAAATAGTATTATTTTAAATAATTTTTCCTAATAGTATTCTATCCATAAATTTTAATTTTTAACTACGTAGTTAGTGTTTGGTGGTGAGAAAAAGGGAAGGATAATGGAAGAAAATAACTTCTCTACGAGTTTTTAACCGGAAATTTATAATGCCCACCACATTTTTTTTGTAGCAACTCTTTTCCTTGTAAAACTTTTTTATGTACAAATTAATATAGAAATGTTTCAAACAATTGAATTTCTTTTTCAATTTTTCCTTTCTAAACTATTTATTCCACCCTAAAGAGCTACATAAATTTGAACATCTTACAACTTATAATAAAATTATTACATATTTTATCCTTATTTTATACAATTAATAAATTAGTAATTTGTTTAATTTATATTACATTTTATATTCTTTTTTATATCTATATATGTGTGAAATGGCTCATACACATGCAAATAATACATATATATATATGTTATATATCTATATATTTATATATAAACTTATTGTTAAAGAATGTGAGTAGATTTGAGGTAAACAACTCTTCTAATATGCAAAACTATATATATTACATGTTTTTATATATTTTAACTTTAAATACAAAAAAGAAGAAATTCAATATGGAATTTTTTTTAATTAACAAACAAACTAGCCAATTTTTTTTCATGACTTTTCAATTAAACAGGCACAAGCATTTGTATTTTTTTGCATCATTTTCTTTATAACCAAACACAAGCAAAAAACTTAGATCTTGTTTAGATTATTATTTTCTAGAGTTTTTATAGAAAATTATATTGTAGTGATTTGATGTATGTGAGGTGAAAAAATAATTGAGAAATGTATCCACAAAAAATGTATAAATTTTTTAGAGAAAAATTGCAATCTAAATAAGGCGTTTGTTTTATTTTTCTATATGTCACTTCATTTCACTTTTCACAAGGCACGCTTTCTTTCACTGCTTTTCCATCATATAAACAGGGCCTTTAAAGAATACACTTTCTGGATTTTTTTAATGGTAACCTATAGCCCAAAGAAGGATTTTAAATCCCTTTTGATTGCCAACTTACCAAAGACAGGTTGGTTAATTATTTGGACATAATTGGCCTATTACCAACCAAGGCTTGATTGGATTTTTATTTATGTTGGAAAAGTTTTATAGTATAATTTTTAGAGAATATTCATTTGACATCGATTTTTAAAGAATAGCTATTATTTACACAAAGTTATTTATTTGCATTGCAAATATATTTTTTAATATAGTTTTTTTATCTTAATACATCACTATAAAGTGTTACAGTAATTATTTAAAATAATACTTTAAAGGGATAATTTCAGAAACCTCTCCTGAGATTTCTAACAATTTCACTGAGCTCCCATAAGGTTTGAAAAATTACACTTACTTCCATTGATTTCATAGTTTTAGTAACAAAACCTTAAAATAATATTGACTTGGACAATTTTTTAAATGAATATCAAAAAATGCATTTGTGGAATGAGTTTTAATTTATTTTCCTATACAATTATAAGATTATTTAGTATAATTATAAGAAAAAGGTGCCACATTCTTTATGTCCATATTTACTATTTGATAAACAGTTATATTAATAATTTTATTACTATGATATGATATTTTTGATGATATGTTATTATGGATTTAGATTTAAAAGATAGAAAAGAAAATGTTGAAATAATTCATTTAGAATTTATAAATTTTTAGAGTAGTGGAATTATTATAATTTAATAGTGCCTTTGGGCCATTTCTTTTTTATTTATTGTTAATTTTAATACCAAAAAATAGAAAACAAAGATCAACAAAAATATTGGATTCCATATAAAATTAAGAGCGAATTGCGCGAAATGTCACTAAACTATTTCAAAGTGCCGGTTTTGGTCACTAAACTTTTTTATTAGCGCGAAATGTCACTGAACTAGTAAATCTATACCATTTTGGTCACTCCGTGTATTTGTGCCGTTAGGAGAGACGGAAAATCACTTTTTAAGGGGTAATTTCGTCTACACAATAGTTAAAAAATTTATGCCCTCATTCTTCTTCACCCACAACCATCCATCACCTACATTGCCACCCACCGCCATCACCTCCACCTCCACTCTCCTTCCTTTCCCTTTTTCTTTCTTCTTCCTCCTCCTCCCTCTTTCACCATTTGTAACAAAGAACACCCTTTATCATTACTTACCTTTCCTTACATTATTTATCATTACTTACCCTTTATCGGTCAAGAGCACGAAACTAACCTTTCATTGGATGATCGATGGACAGTATATGCACAGGACTCACGAAACTAACCCACAAGAAAAACGGCAGCAAAGCAGAAATTCAACTAGACAGGATTATTGCTCTGATGCAGAAAGGTCAAGAGCCAGGACTGAAAAAACGAGGGCGCAGATTACTAACCTCAGTTCTGATTGTCCGCCTATTCAGGAAAGGACCAAGAGGGAAAGGAAACCCAGTGATATTGAAGTAGAACCTTCCGCCACTGCTACCACTCGTGCTGCTGATGGCTTTTCCGGAAGCAACTACCAAATTGACATTCTTGATTACTTTGGGTTTTAATTGAAAAGATAAGCCATTTAAAGGTGACCCACCAAGGAAAGCAGTAGTGTTTGATTCTCCTGAAGATGAATGATTTGGCAATAAAGTGGACTTCGGCGAGGTCAAATTGATGCCTGCCACCATTTTCAAATAAAATTTCCTCCCACACTCCCACTCCCCAAATTAGTGCCAAATTAGCGTCAGCTCAGGTGAGGCAACGCAAGAGTTGCAAATCTAAATTGTGGCCGGATACAGAGTAAGGAAGGAAAAAGCTTCGGATAGAAAACTTGAAAGAGGGCCAGAGGTTTTTCAGCTAAGAAGAAATGGGAAAAACGAACGAAGTAAAAACAAGAAAAGCAGAGGAGGAGCTGCGGAGGAATTGGAAAACAGAGGAGGAAGAAAAGAGGTCTGGACGAAGGACGAGAGAAAGAGGGGAAAGAGCATCGGCGCATCTCTTTTGCCGCTGCTGTTCGTTTTTGCGCTCACCGCCACTGAAGCCGCCGCCGCTCGAAGGAAGCCGCCATCACCTCCCCAGAATCCTCCATCACCGTCGTCTGCAAATCTTCAATCGAACAGATGTGGTAAGTCCTCTTTCCCCTTCAACCGAACAAATTCTGTTTTCTCCTCAAGCTTAGACCTATAAGAATCTCAAAACCGAGATTAGCTTATTGTGATTTGTATGTTGATTGTACGCAATTTTGTGTATACATGCTTTCTGTGTTGTTTGGGATTGAATGTCTTT